GACGACCACGCCCCCTTTTGGGTGAAACAGGCGCTGTGAAAGTGCGCATAGTGCAAACAAAACAAAAGACAAATCAGTTTACGATTTTATTTACTTTCCTAATGCAGGAAGGACAGTAAAAGAAAAGCTCTGTGGCTCTAGGCAGTCCACATCTACATCCACATTAACTTCTAATAATGAACCTTGTAAACAACATAAAGTAACTAGGGAAATATCAATTAATAAACACAAACAGATATAAATCATTTAGGAATGTCACATTGGACAGATGACATGAACAGTAAAAAACGGGTCTTAATGACAGGAACAGTGTCAGCTGTCAGAAGTATGAGATTCAGTAAGGTATGTCAGGTCGGTCCTCTTTAATGGAGGCAGACTGAAGGTATAAGATAAGATGTACCTTTATTTTTCCCCCTAGTAGAAATTCAAATTAGACACAGCACTATAGGGTAATGTAGGGCAAAGAGTACAGAGGTGGAAGTACAATCAGATATCACAAAATATAATAGAAAATATATGACTATAAATGAAAAGTATATACACTATATGTGATATGTAAGTTAAGTATAAATGGTTGTGCAAAAGGGTTGTGGTTGTAGGTTGGAGTTTAAACCAGTCCTAGTCAGCAGGGGTTGGAGGTACTGGGTGCCAGTGCCGGCCCGTATCATAGGCAGTATGGGCAAATACCGAGGGCGCCACAACGGGGAAAGAGAGAGAAAAGATGTAACTTTCAATGTTTTTATAGTAAAACTAGTTGGTGCTATTATTTCTTAGTCCGAAAAAATAAAGCCCATTAATTTAACTGCATAGCAGAGCCTATTAAATAATAACAACCCTTCATTAAGCCCCCCCTGCTCTCTGAGAGCTGGTTGAGGTTTCTGACGTCAGAAACCAAAACTTTCAGGTGTCCAGGGAAGAAAAAAAAGAAAAGAAGAGGAGGAAAAACGCGACAAAGACAGAGGTAGAGTGAAGATAATGTGATGAAATGATTTATCTGTTGCAGAACGATAGTAACCTTTAGTCTAACACTGTTTGTTAATCAATAAATAGCATTTTAACGTCAGTTCATGTTCTGGAGGGGTCAATAATATATATAATACTCCCACCTTCTATTTCTCAGGGACATTTGTAAAGAGTAGATCTGTTCAGCAGCTGTTTCCATTGTTTGTATTTATTATTGTTTAGTTAAAGTTTGCTCTGCTTGTAACAGTCAGTCAGATGCTTTTCCTTTCACACACCTTTATACATTAGAGTTGTAAGCCTTGTTGTTTGTTGTGTTATAGTTCAGTATTGTCTAAAGTGTGTCTATAGTGTTAACCTTTACATCCATGTTAAAGTGCACATCATTAATGTTAATACATTCCCATATGTTATATTATACTGCAGTTGACTGCTTCTTTACATTCTGCTCATCAGCATTTCACTTTAATGACAATAAGATGAAATCTAATCTAATTTGCATATCATAAGAAATTGCAGTGTATATCATTCATGTACAGTACAGTAAAAGTAATGCATCTCTTCTATTCTTGGAATCATTTCTTTTATTATTAGACTGTAACACCCAATGGTGTCACTTACTCTCTTCAGATGCGCTGTTGAAATATCTAAATCCACCTCCTGCAAATCCTGGGCCATCTACATTCATCGCCACTTCAACAGTATCAAGTGATCCTCCTGTCCTGTCATTTCCTGTATTATTTATGTCTAATTTATTATTTTCTTGTTAACTGTTTTGATTGAGCAACTTGTTCCTCTAAAAAGAAAAGAAAATGCCAAAGACAAAGCTATTCAGTTTCTTGTATGAGTATATGTATGTATATAACTGGCAGTAGAATTTTCTGCGATGCAAGGGGGGCGCCACCTAAAATCCGGCCTAGGGCGCCAAATTGGTTCGGACCGGGGTGCTGGGTGCTGTGGTGTCTGATGGCTGATGGTACAAACGATTCCAAACCACTTTGAGGCTCGGGGCTGGTTCAGTCTGTGGCTGAAAGGGGAGGGAGGAAAGGGTAAAGAAAGGGGAGACGGGCTGTGGATGAGGAGGGTGGGGTAGCCAAGGTATTAGGGGGTACCTGATGAGGTGGAGGGGGTTTGTTAGTCAAACCTGTTGAAAATAGGTTTAGCTCGTCGGCACGTCTCTTTGTTGAAAGGACACAACATAATTATTCGTCTTGCTGGCTGTAGGATTTCCTAATAGCTAAAAGCAATACGGTATTCTTATTTGATGGTATTAAACTGGCAAAGACATCAGAATTTATATTTACCTCCAGTCAAAAGGGGGCGGGGCTTGACACAATGCCAAAGTACCCGGATGGTAGTCTATAGTCACAGTGGCCATTTTGCAATGAAATAGGGTAAACCGGGTGTTAGCAAAGCTACTAATTAAGGTCAAACAGAGGTGCTGCTGTTGTGCATGCTGGCTCCAGGGGCGGCCTTAAGCATCTCGGGGCCCGTTCCAAGAGCTAATGTGGGGCCCTTCTTGACAACTGACAACTACTATACTGTAGCACTGTGTTTGTGTTCTGTATCAGCTGACATAAAAACAGCTTAAACAATTCCCTCAAATTAATGAGTGATAAGTGATTTGGATGAATTGTTATGACATTTATTTCCTGTTTAGGGAACTTTTACTGAAAGTGAATACTTTATTCTGTATGTTTCTAATCATTTTTAACAATCAACTTAAGAGGCTTCTTTTGTGACAAATTCAGTGTGTTCTTGTCCCTGATGCTTGGCCATTGTTTTATTAGACAATTTACATTGATTTTTTAAGTCAACAAGATGCTCAGATATAGGCCGACTGTGTGTATAAGTTTTCTAGCACGCCTTAACCCAAAAAGGCAAACCTCCTGTAGGCCTCCGTATTTTGCATTATTCTTGTTTAAATCGATCTAAAATAGAAACTATAATAGCTAGAGCGTTCATTCTTCTTGCTTCCGTCTTTAGCCTTGGTGACCCCTAGTTGAGGTCCCGACCCCCAGGTTAAGAACCAATGCTCCAATAAGTTCATCTTTATCCAGCAACCTCGTTACTTAGTTGAAATCTGAGCGAGAGCTGACAGGCGCTCCTGGATCCTGGTGGGCTCAGACGGGTCCAGTTCAGAGATCGATCAGGTTTCAGCTGAGTGGCGAGGGTCATTTGAATGAAGTAACCACAGCTCAGCTTGCAGTCAGTTGGTGGCCCTTTGGGATGGCGGGGCCTGTTTTAATTGAAATGAGTGAAACATAGGTAAGGCCGACTTTGTCCTCCAGGTGGCGTCCTTACCAAGTTCCAAGTTTTCTCTCAGCTGAGGAAAACAGCTTTCTCTGACTTTGCTCCCTTGACTTGCAGCCTCTGAATGAAGACTGGAAGAATTTAAGGTTTAATGTTAATGTAACCGCCTCATTAGAGCTGGATTTAGTGCTTTCTTTGTGTGTCTGATGTTTGTTTACATGTCATTTGTGTTTTTATTTCTATTCACATTGTAACTGTGAGCTGTCTCGGCAAGGTTTCAATCTCAAGGGACTTCCCAACACCAAAACAGACACCAGGCAGGTCTGTTGTAATTTAGCTGCTTTTTCCTTCTGTTTACCTCTTTAAAATATTATATCTTGCTTTCTTAGCTCAGTTGCATATTCTCAGATACCCCAAAACTCCACCACCATCATTGTCTTTTGTCACATTTTGAGTTGATTCAAATAATCTGTTAACAGTAACACTTTATCTTAGACAGAAAACAGAAGAAATACAAAGTGAGCTACATACCTCAATCTGAATACACCACACACACACACGCACACACACACAGACACACACACACACACGCGCACACACACACACACACACACACACACACACACACACACAGATGTTTTCTGATAAAACTTCACTTTCTCTGCTTTTGTTTTAGTTACTCCTGTAAAACTTTTTTCTGAGTTAACAACTTACTTTGTCAGATAAAGATGAGATACTGTTTAATTAAATTAAAATTGCTCCATGTGCAAGCCCCCCCGATTCCAGCAGGCCAGCCACAGAGAGGAACAGGTGGAGAACTGGAGCCAACAAGGCAACCTAAAGAACAGTTGGCCCACTGCAAAGGCTTTGCTACACTACATGGAACCTTAATTAGTACCATTGGTAATACCTGTGTTTACCCTACTATTTCATATCAAAATGGCTGCTGTGAAAAAGGTTGTATGATCCATGGTAGAATCACAAACTAGTATTAAAAAGTTTGATGATAGGCCTACTATAAAATGTTACACCTGTAAAATATTATATAAAATATATTATTTTATTATTAAATATTAAATAGACCTACACAGGCCCTATTCATTCACTGGTAGGCTTTATATGTGAATTAATCAAAGGTAAAATGAGGACTAAAGACAATCGTTTCTCTGGCTCTAATTTTAGCTCAGTTTTGGTCGCCACACCTGGCGCTGGGCGGTGTACGAGGTTGAAAACGTTGATGAGAACCGCGCGAGTGAACTAAAACGGTAAAATGGCGGCTGTAAAACCAAAACTGAGCTGAGACGTGCTAAATGTTTCAAGCTGAGGGAATCTGTGGAGTTGAGTGATAATTGTGTGTCCATCATTAGAGTCATAATGACCCATTATTAATGTTAAAAAGTTTTGGGTTGCCATATTTAGCTCATCAGCAAGAGCCTCCAATGGTTAGTCTGACCCATCTGATCTAAGAGGTATTAGTATGAACCCCTTTATGAATTACACCATATTAGAAAGTGATAGAGAATATTTAATGAATGTTACAGTAAGACCTTCAAACTAATGAACTATTTACTTTTAACACATTGTCTAATATTAGAGGCAAAATCAGCTTAAAGTTATAATTGCTAGCATACACTGTGAATAAATAAAAATAGTCTGTTAAACAAGCAAATGTCAATAATATAATATACTGTATGTAGTATATTTTACTGTTGTGATAACTTACTGTCAAGATAAACAGTAAGTTAATGATGAAGTCATGAACAGCTCATAAAGACATGGGGAAACCATTTGTGTATGTAAATCAGTTTATTGCAAGAAGACCACTGGGAACAAGGCCAACATCTCTCTCTGGCTCTGAGCTCTGCCCAGAGGTCCTCATCAACAAAAATGAGGATTTACAAACAATTCAAAAGACATGAGCATAAAACGACATTAATTATCTGAAAACTAACTGTTGTAGGCCTACATTCTAAATACTGTATATATCTCAAATATAACTGCTCATCAGAAGTTATTCAAACATCTGTGTGTTTATAATAGCATATATCCCTCTGATATGTACAGAATAATCAAGACAGTGCCTTTTTGATCTTGGAAATTCATTAAAATTACACACAAAATAATCTGAATTATGAAAGAGGCATGCAAACCGACCAGTATTTGTCTCTATGTAGCCTACCTGAAAATATAACCCAAACCACTTTCTACTGAGTCTGTAACAGCCACCTTCTGAAGATGTAATACAGCTCTACAGCACTCTGTTGTGGCTGCAAGAGGAGCATCAACACCTACAGAGGACACCTTTAATACATCTCCTCCATGATAAAAATAAAAATAAAAATACATATCTTCCACATTTTGTTTGAACACATGCTGAAAAAGAGTGGCAATACTGTTGACGAAGGTGTTTTTTTTTTGGCTCAAATACAAGCAGGAGAATGGCCACAAGCGTTGGTTTTGAAGCCTCAAATACAAGGGATGGCACGATAGTTCAAGCACTGTGTTTAAGAAACAATATGTTGTGAGAGTTCAAAGGGCGGTGTGCCATCAGTACGCACTTCCTCTTCTGTCTGAAAGTGAACAGAGATTCATCACTGATTCAACACACGAGGGGGTTAGCAACAGCTCCCGCCCGTGTTAGGACCAGTGATAAAAGATTGCATTTTCAGTCCATGTCACCAAATCACAACATCTCCGTGGCAACGGAGCCCTGCCATGCATCATCGTCAAAATCCGCTGCGTTGGTACCAATATACAAATGTTGCAATATCTTTCCAAACTATACAAAACTTATAAATTATAAAGTTCTATTCTTAAATATAAACAACATCAAGTCAGTTTCCAGTACTTAGATTATATATTAGGTACAGTACATTGTACAGCTCCGTCATCACAGAGCGGAGGACGTTCCATTGAATACACTGTACATGATCCAAGGGGCTGAAACTGGTGCTTAGACATGATCTTTGAATAAATTAATTCATAAATAAATCATGATTATGTCTTCCCAGTAACAGTGGTGTCCTTGGTTCCCCTCGAGACTGTGACACACACACGCGCACATGCACACACATACACTCGAGCTGACTCTTAAGTCCAAATCTACGACTCTTACTCCTATTCTAAAAATACTTTTGGCTTTAAGAAGTAACAATGTTATACTCAACTCAGAGACTAAAAACTAATAATTCTTTAATATCGTACGAGAGGTCTACCTTCTAGAGGGAGGTTAAAATTCAGTAGTTACAAGTTTAGAGTACCTGTACAGGCTTTGCAATGATAGAATAATATCTCTAATCAATAAAGTGACAGTGCTGGATGTCAGTTCCAGGGAGATCCCTTTCCTATGTGGGTTTTATTAAAGAAAAATAAAGCCCACATCTACTCGGATATGCCTGTAGAGAGAGAGAGAGAGAAACAAACAAGAGTAGACTCTATGTGAATGAATAGTGTTAAATATCTAGATTCTCTCTGTCAGTGCAAAGCTAGAGCTGACTTGTGGCTAGCACAGCATGCTATGTTGGCTGGTACTGAGCATGGGAGACATGTTGAAGCATTTTGAGCGTATTACTGGCAGACCAAATCGCTAGGTAAAACATAAAATATCGTCACTGTCGTCAGATGGTTCAGCTTTGCAAGACTGATCCAGTTGTGCATAAGAGAATCCCATATGTCAGCTAATATTAGTACCTATATAATCCTCAAATATATACAGCGAAAGCCAGTTTTTACTTAAAAATACCTTAATCGTGTGCTTATATCCAAACTTGTACAAAGAGTAACAAACGATCCAGCTAAAAATCGCTGTTAGCGCATGATTTCTCTCTTTCCAGTCAGTTACAGTAGCAGCTTCTTCACCAACAGCAGCCTCACTGTTGGTGTTAATACAGTTACGTCCACTCCAGCCAACCTTTCGGTTCATTAGACGATTGGCAGCAATCTCCACTGCTGGGACTTTCTTTTCACGCCTCCTGTCCGGTGCCCAAAGAAACAAAACTTCCGGTGTCTTCTCTCTCGTGTGTGTATTGCACCAAAGATAAATCATATAGAGCTCTATTTTTCTATGTGAAAAAATAAAAGGAAAGACTTGGTTCCAAGGCGCTGAGAAACTGGAAGCCAGGTGAGGTTTCCTCCATTAACCAGAGGAAGAAGAAGAGGAGGAAGAGGAGGAGGAGGAGGAGGAGGGAGGTCAGTGGATGTCTCGGCACATAGGAAGGTTGACGAAGATGAAGACGTTGAACTCGATGAGGATGGAGAAGCACAGAAAAATGGCGTACAGGATGATGCAGGCCAAGCCCAGTCGCCAGTCCAGGATCCATTTGTTCAAATGGACACCGAGGACCTGCAGGCAGGAGAGAGAGAACCAGTCCCATCTGAACTGCAGTACCAGATAAACAGCGGAGTGTCGTTCTATCGAAACACTGACAGATTAGCAGCATTGTATCTGAACAACTCCTGTTTTATGAGCACTTCTGAAGTGGAGCTACAGGCCATGGTTGGACTCAAGGGGGTAGGTTTGGTTTCAAAGTTGGTAGGGACCCAAGGATGGAAATATGGAAAAGGGGGGAGGGAACATCAGAGCAGTGACTCCCAACCTGGGGGTCGGGATCCCCACTAGGGGTCACCAAAGATACACTTATTATTTAAGATTTAAGATATTAACTTTAAACACCTTAACATGAGCTATATTCACATATAAATATATATACTCTCTGATAAATGAATTAGAAAAGTTCAAACAACCAAAGAGCTAATAAAATAATGGTTGGGAGAAGAAAACACTTCATTTTCAGAAAAGAAGTAGGGGAGAGTGGGGTAAGTTGAGCCACCCCTTGTTGCTAGTAAATGGTAAAAAAACATTGATCATGTGACCAAATATTTAGGAGGAAGGCATCATTTCATGGAGTCTGTGAATGTAAGAACCACATGGGTAAAGTGGTTAGATATTTATTTCCAAAAAATAATTTTTCACTCTTGAAAGTGAATTTAGTCTATCATAAGTTTCACGAGAGTAGGGATACGGCTCAACTTACCCCGCTCCTATGCTCAACTTACCCCATACACGGGGTAAGATGAGCTATGAGTTGAGCTAGTAATGTTTACACTCATTCTGTTGGTTTGAAGGGACGCACAACATCCTGAAATATATGCAGCTATATTAGTTAGCGACAAAACTATGATTGCCTTGATGTAGTGATCCTAAATATGAAAAATGGCTCATCTTACCCCACTCTCCCCTATGTAGTATTTAATAAATGTATAAAAATACCAGGAAACCTGATATTAATTGATATTTACAGGATATAATCTGCTCAGAATTCATTTGCTTGTTTTACACAAACCTCTTGCAGTTATTGTGTTCACTGTTTGGGTTCATTCAGTTTATCAGTTGTTCTCTACTGTTATTGCTAAGCATTTACAGTAATATAATATGAAATATCCATTCAAAATGTCAGGGGTCATCAGTTTACTTAATGATAGAAAAAGGGGCCCTTAAGGAAAAGGATGGGAACCCGTGCTTTAGAGGATATGGTATGGAGCAATGCATTAACAAAGGAAGAGAAGAAGAACACTGCAAGCAGGTAAACAATGCTGCATTTAAAACACTTTGAAACACTGATGTAAATGTTTTATAAGGAAGGAAATGCTCTCAACACGTTTGTTAGACCTCAAGGATCAGTGCAATGCGTTTGGTGAGTAACACTGAATGTAAACATAACTTTCTTTTGTTTACAAGAAAACTCCACAGGGCGCCTTTAAGCTGGCACAGCTCTGCTCACTCTTGCCATAGGGACCGTCCTCGTCTACTCTGCACCACACCACTGCACACTGCTGAAGGCTATGCTGTTATTTGCGACTGCTACTGCAACAGAATACTCCCTGTCAGTGTTGGGGGTAATGGTTGTAATTCAAATAATCAGTTCTTTAGTTATGTTTTCAAATAAGTAATCCAGTGCTGTTCAAATGTTACTGTATTTCCTTGTTCCTTTTGTTGCCACAAAAAAACAAAAAAAGAAAATCCCTGCCACATTCCCACTGTTTCTGTTTCTTTCCTACTTCCTATGTCTGTGATTCCTGTTATCATCCTGCATAGTACAGATTACAGGTCGTAGACTAAGCCACGCAGTGACAGTAGAGTCAATAAATCCAGGTGCAGTAGGCTACACATCCTCTGGACCAGGGGTCTCCAACCTTTTTGAGAGTGAGAGCTACCTAAATGGAGAAAATTGTCAGGAGGGCTACTCTGTATACTTAATGAACATTAATGTTGATGCTTTCAAGAAAATACCATAGAAGTGTGTATTTTCCCCTTCAGTCATTTTGATTTGGAATTGTGGGTATGGAAGTTCTTTTTCTCTGGTCGTGGTATTAACACTGAAGTATCTTACAAGAAATCTACTGATATGAACTGAGAGTCATTCACTCAGCTCGCCTAGTCAAGGTGAACCAATTCACTGATGGATCATTAAAATCTAAAAGTGCAGCTCAGAGAAAGTCGGTAAAGGCTCAGGCCACCATTTGGGACACAGAATGAACACCAGATGCAGAAGGGGAGAATAGGGAAGCATGGCCTCAACTCAGAACATTTAACAAAGGCCACTCTTAATATACTGTTTTAATTAATAAAAACATAATAGTAATGGATTTCAATGTTTTGACACAGTGGAACCCATTTGTACACCTTCTTGGAAGTGTTATGAAAAACAAATATTGAAAGTTAGTGAAGGTACTTTAAGCTTGGTGTTTCTTTCTGGGGAGTGATAAAGTGGGATCCTACTGTAGATGCCAAATATCATCACTGTGCATATTCTACATTCAAATAATCCTCCATTCCATACCCCACATGAGTTGGATGAACTACATTTCCTTCTCCATCTCCATCTTCTTAGATTTGAACCTGATGTTGAATTTCACAACACAAAGTGATGTTGAGTGACTCTATTGATGTGTAGAGATCTTGCCTCACAGACTCTGTGCTTGTCAACAGCACACAACAATGCAGGCAGGAATCCATTGAACCAAAATAAAAAACTCTGTGGTTATAAATCTATGGTTGGATTCACAACTACAAAGATGTTAGATGAATATGTTTTTCGCCCCCAGAACTGCCAGAATGGCCCCGTTCAGTAAACTGTAACAGTCTGGTACTTACTGTGAAGAATACTGAGGCTAGTAAGAGTCCAACAGAGAATATGAGTCCTCTGCTGTTAAGATAGATCTGAAGAGACAAAAAGAGAGATTACAGTAGTTTTTCACAAGGGATACACTGCCAGGCTTCCTCTGTGGCATTAAAATGTAGGGTTTTTTGGGGATTAACTTCCTGCATTCATGCAGCCAAGGACTGACTTTAATTACACCTGTTCCAAATGTCATTTTCTAGTGTGAAGAGTAATCAGCAGGCCAATTAACACATAATATCTTCAGTGTAAGGTGATAAAGTGTGCAGTGCCCCAACAAACATTACGTGGGTGTATTTGTCCTCCCCCACTGCCCTGCACTGAATATTACAGACTATTGTTCCCGTCCTTCATGAGCGCAGCTCTGTTCTATTCTGGTCTAAGTCAAGCAGAATTTCCTCCAGCTGAGCTGAGAAGCACTCACGATGGAGCCGTAGTCGATGCAGAGTGTTTGCAGCGCCCAGGGCAGGCCCAGGCCAACCAGGATGTCAAACACATTACTGCCTATGGAGTTGGAGATGGCCATGTCTCCCAGACCTGAGGCAAGGAGAGCAACACTGTCAAGGTCTGTATACAGTCAGGAGACAAGTCAGTTATGACAGGCAATACTCTGCTGTGGAACCCCTTCTCTTTGCAGCATTTTGGCTTTGTTTCACTCAACACAAATACTGCTGTTAACTTCCTGTGTTTGGTTATACCGGAGTGTTTGTGTGTGTGTACCTTGCCGTGCGACTATAACACTAGCCATGCAGTCTGGGACGCTGGTGCCTGCTGCTAGGAAGGTGATGCCCATGATAACGTCAGGAATGCCCAGAGTGAAGCCGATCACAGTCACCTGAAACCAAACAAATATTGCTCTCAATACACTCCTCCATATTTATTTCAGCTGTACTGTTTATCAATAAAAACAAGTTCCCAAATAGTTCCCACCTGGAATTAAATCACAGTAGTGTAACAGAGTTGTATGCACCCTCAACAGTTTAACACAAAATGTAACAATCCTCAGAGTTTTCCTCCTCTTCCTGATGAATACATCTCCACTGGTGATCAATGATGATACTAAATTAATTTAGTATTATCAGCTTTCTCACATGAACCTTCAGTTTGCCACTCTGTTTTATAGGAAGAGCATATTTAGAGCATTTTATTGAATTTACAAAGGCTATACTGTCTGCTTGGTGTTCCATTCAGCTGAGAAGAATATATCCTTTGTCTATCAGTGGTCACTTAAATAGAGCTGCAACTAATAATTATTTCATTATCCTTTCATTTGTTGATCATCTTCTTCAGTTTTTGGTCCATAAAATATCAGAAAATGTTTCAAAGACCAAGGGGACTAAGACTAAATGTCTTATTTTGTCAAAATAAGACATTTGACTGCCACTGACAACTAAAGAAACTAGAAAATATTTACATCTGATCAGAGAGTTTGGACATTTTTTCTTAAAAAAAGAAGTTATGAATCGATTATCAAAATAGTTTGCAATTAATTCAGTAGTTGACAACTAATCAAGAAGTTGATTAATTGTTGCAGCTCAACAATGAAAGCAGGAGCAGATCTAGAGGAGTGGCACGGGGGGGTATTGATTTCACCCTTTTGCCACTCCATGAATATTTCTCTAGAATAGCCCCTGACTGAAAGCATTCTATTTCTGTGTTATTAAGGGACTGGATGAAAATGATTGGGCAGGGGAGGGGAGCTGAACATTACATCTTCATTGAAAAAACTGCATCACCCCTAACAACCTTAAGTTAATAAAGAGTTTACATTAGTGTGCTCTTGTTTAAATCTTAAGTTCATGGAACAATCATTTTCACACCCAAGCCAAATCTAAAAGTATCAGTGGAATTGGCAATTGCCAAACATTATTGTAAACATAACAGTGATATAGGATGCTTCCTGAACATTCCAGCCACTCGCTATTTTTTCAACCAGTGGACAATGAAGTTGTTACGACATTACTGAAAGAGGGGAATAATCACAGGAGGTACCTCTGGGGCTGTTTTCCAAATAAAAAAGATTTATACAAATTTAAATTCACCCATTAGTAGAATAAGTTGCCACTGTGTAATGCTTAATATCTGCATTATATCACAGGCTACCATTTCACTTTGCTGTAGTCCTGCTTTCTGTTATGATGCAGATTTAAGTGTCACTAATAACCATTAAGATCCATTAATGTTCTGTTTCTCACACTTGATACACTGATCCTATATTAGTGGTTGAATTTGACAATTGTTGTTGATGGTTGATTGTTTCCCTCTGCATATGGTCAAACACACCTTATAGTTTTATTTATTTTTGATGGCTACTGTGGGGACCATTGACGCTGCACATTCAAACCCATGCACCTTATAGTTTTATTTTTACAATAAAAACATGACAATAATTTGTGTAAAGCTAAATATGAAAGCCCTGAAGGATAATATATCCCATTTTCCTGGAGGCAGTTTCAACATTCTTTAAAGCTCAGGATGTGTTTCCAGCCTGTTAGAGAGCGACTGTACTGACCATCCAGACCATGATGTACGAGAGGCCAGCGATCCAGATGGTGGCGGTGAAGAAGGACACCATGAACCATCTCTCCCAGCGGCGCTTGGCACAGTTGGGCACGGTGAAGAACAGAAGCAGGGACAGCGGCCACATGGTCAGCCACTTTAGCTTGTTACACACACCAGCTGGAGGGAGCGGGGAAACCAGAGATGATAACACATATTATGATGGCCCCAGTGACAGCGCTAATAACAAACATTTATTGCCGGTCAAAATGTTCATCTGCGCTGTACCTGGAATTTTAAATGGCACCAGGGGGCCATTACTGTCATCTTCTCCCTCTCCTTCCTCGTCGTTCTCGTTGTTCTCATTATCCTCATTTTCATTCTCTGTCTCGTTCCCAGACTCCAGTCGCTGAAGTCTGCACCTCCCGTTCAGACCCTGTTCGGCCCCGCCCATCCCATTCTCTAAGCCCCGCCTCCCCTGAGCCCTGGCACCTGAGTCAGAGTCGCCGTTAGTGATGCGGTTGACCCGAGTCTCAGTGGTGTTGATCAGTCTTTGTCTCTGGAATTGATTATAGAACATTATTGTAAACAACATTAAGATTACCTTTATTATTTCATTAAGGTTATAAACAAACACTGGAGCCTCCTAGAATGTGACCAAAGGTTAAATCATTTGCCATCCTCTAGACCCCGTTTTTGCTTCAAGAGGATATTGCCTATTTATAAGAAGTTACAGGAACTACAGATGTGTTAAATGTGCACATTGTTCTAACACATTTGACACTAAGACTTCTAATCACCCGCATTCAGGAAAGAAACATTTTTAATATTATGAACTGAACACCATTGAACCTTATGAACTTCATGAAGCACAGGATTTGAGCTGGTTTTTGTGACATTAAAATGTTAACTTGTATCTCTCTCTACAGGTAATTTGGACCCTTAGAGAGAGATGAGACACTAGGTCACTTGGCCTACCCTTTAGGATATTTGTCCAAAGGTATTAAGCTTATCCTATTCAGTCAGCTGGACATGGATAAGGTTTCTTACTGTTATATGTAAAATGGGGTAATTCTTAGAATTCTGTTGGACTAATGATTCTAATGATGTTTTTATATTTATCTTGCTTTGTCTTTTGCATTGTGTATTTGTGTGTAATATTATATGTTTTGATATACTACTTTTACTTTGTAAAACAGAAAGAACACTTTGAAAAGAGAAAAAATAAAGACTGTGATAGCTTGTCATATGACCCCATCACACCTGTGAGTGCTCATGTAATTCTGCTGAGCAAACCTGAGCTACTATTAAACAGAGTAAAGTCATTCCAGTGTGCGTTGCTAATTTAGACTTTTAGACAACATCAAGCTTTGACTACAATACTTCCATTAACACATTTTTGGACATTTTGTATTGCTGTTTTGTAGCATGATGGTAGTGGTAGCCTGATCTATTTTGAGTCTTAACTACTCAAATTTGTTTTTATTTATATTATAGAAATCAGAAAAAGCCCCTAATATTTGTCTGGAACAGAAGTTAATGTTCTTTTCTCTTCTTTCTGTCAGAAGTCTAAATTTGGTTGTTTGGTTTGGATTTACATCCAGACTGTAGCCTGCAGCAGACAGGTGCCTGAGAGACAGTGTTGGCTGCAATATCCAAAAGAAAATTCACATTCACTCCACTCCTTCATCTGCTGAACGCAGACAGGGTTATTTGGTTTGTATTTATGCTAAAACTGGTTTGGCAGGGATTGTTCAAAGTAACTTAAATTGGCAAAACAAAACAATATTTCTCTTGAGGGTAACATTGCTGCTTTATTCATTTATTTGTTGTTTGTTTTTAACCTGTCTGCTATTCTATTAAATCTATAGTTGTCTGCGGTTTGACCTACCCACCAACCTACCTACCTACCCACCAACAACCTACCTATCCGCCAACCTACTTACCCACCTACCTACCCACCAGCAATTTTAAATAACTTGTAGCATAAAAAACTACATAACTCCACATAGAGTCCAACATAGTGTACATAGGCATGTGAGTCCACGTATAGTTTAGCGTATACATACCTCATTGATAAGCATGCGAGAGGCCATGGTGAGGCGGGTTCTGGGGGAGAAGTGACTGGTGATCATGATCCTCATGCCGGCCTCAGAGAAAGACAGCTGGTGGGGGTATGCAGACAGCAGCTCATCCACCATCAACACCGATGGCTTACAGTGGAAGTTAGCTGGTGAGAAATAACACAAATATGTTCATCTGACTGCAGGGCTAGTTTTTAGTCCAACTGTCATCCTTTCCACAAATCATGTGGAAGTGATATTTAAAGTATTGGCCTGGATAACTGACTACCTCACTGACAGACCACAGTATGTCAGACTGCACAGCTGCTTGTCAGATGTGGTAACGAGCAGCACTGGCACACCCCAAGGTACTGTACTATCACCGTTCCTGTTCACCTTCTACACCTCTGACTTCTGCTTCAACTCTGGAGAGTGCCACCTACAGAAGTTCTCTGATGACTCCTACATTGTCGGCTGTATCTCAGATGATAGGGAGGAGTACTACAGAGACCTGATTGAGAACTTCATTGGATGGTGCGACAGGAACCACCTACACTAGTTATATTTAATTTCCACTTGTACAGTTTAGTTTTAGTTTTTTAGTTTTAGTCAAGCTTAATTTTCTGCTCATATTTGCACTCCATGTCCTACTTGAACAATGCATAGTGTATATACTTTCATTTATAGTTTTATATCTTCTAATATTAATAATATTAGTAATATTTTTATTGTGATATTCTTTGTTCTCTGTTTTTGCACTACTTTGCCCTATTGCTGCTGTGTCAACCTGAATTTCTCCTAAGGGGGATAAATAAAGGAATATCTTATCGTATCTTATCTTATCTTAGAGAACCAAAGTGACCCTCAGGCAAAGGGCCTAGTTGTAGGACACACTTAAATGTATCCACAGGGTTCCACTTGTGGATCTGATCTCAACATTTTCCAGACCTGAAATGTGAGCAGCAGTCTGCACCAGTGGTTCATCAACAGGTACCCTTCATTCCCCCTCAAGACTATTCACCATCTATTAATTAGGGTAGGGTATGATCACAAAGTTTATTTCCCCCAGAGCAATTTCCTTTGTAAAAATCTGAAGATCAATCCAATAGTCTGTGTCCCTGATGGCTACTGTGGGGACCATTGACGCTGCACATTCAAACCCATGCAGCCTAGCAACCATCTGCCACCTGTGACCCTGGCTCTCTTCATCACCTCCTCAGCAAAACCTGAGGAACAAGTTAGCAGTGCGACTGGTGCTCTCTGGGGCATCACTCAAGAGTACCAGATGCAGAACAAGCTGACGGAGCAGGCTGGATGTGTGCAAGCCTTAGCCAGCATCTTGTGCTGCTCTACTCTGTTAGCCTGAAGATGCAAACACTAGAGTAATCTGTGGAAGTGCTGGGTGGTAAAAACAGTTCCTCATTTGACAGTTGAGGACCCAGGAGACTTTCTTTATCCTTCTGGTGGCCCAGTCCCACTGAGCCAGTCTGACACTGAGGCAGAAAATAATAAAGCCCTGGAACAGCTAAAGGCATTGGCAACATCAAAAGTAGGGTATCATGGTATGCAGGACTGTCCTGATCACAAGAAGGATTTATAGGCAGATACACATCCATCTGAGCCAACAGGAAGATGACATTGTAGAGTCCTTGGTCTGCTTTGAAGACTAGTTAGCAAAACTGGATGCAAGATGGGCAGCTACCACACTAATAAGCAGAAGAATGCTCTGGTATTGCTGAGGAACAGCCGTTCATTTTAAGTGAATTCTGACCCGTCTACTAGGGATGTGCATCTCCATCACAGAGGCTGATGCAATACGCATCTTACTGCACTGCCAAAAATCTGATACATGAAAGATACATATGAAGCAACTACCAACGGGATATGATCCGGTTCACCCGTATTGTGATGCAGTGCGAGTCAACACCATTTGATTAAACAAGATACGATCCGATGCTATCCTAGGTCCTTATTGAGCAGCTTGAGAAACTGTTTAAAAAGGAGGACTCAATCTGATTGGTCACATTTCTAAATAATAATGGCATAGGGCCTCGACTAAGAATTGTATATAAATGTCAATAGTTTTTTTTACAGATGCTAGAAACAATGCATCTCAAGTTAATCTTAAATTGTATCCCATTCATCACATCTTGAACTTCTATGCCAGCACACTAATGCAAATAGCTGAATCCTACCATCCCTATCATCTACACACTGCTAGTGTTTGTCAAGTTTAGGGGTGACCCTGGCTTGGTCTGCAGCTGGTTTGTAGGTTTCCTTTATGAGTTTCTGTATGGAGGGCCAGGAGGTGGAGGCTCAGTCTTCAGCATGTTAGCAGTGCACTTCATCAAGTAGGGGAAGTTCTTTTTCCTCTAAGATCATTGTCTGTGGCCACCATATACACAGCCCAAAACACTGACAGCTTGGTGCAGCTTTAGCTTTGAGGATCTATGGTGGCAATCATACAGGACAAAAGAGACGCAACTTTGTCGATAAAGTCATCCGTGACTGTCTTATCCTGGAGCTGGACAAAAATAGATCAAAAGTGGTGTCCCAGCTGCCTTTATATTTATGTAAATTTCAGTGCACAGAGATGAGGAGTCCTCTTAGAGGGCAAAGCTTGTGTAAAATAGAGCAGATTACCTTTCTTGAGCAGGACTGCAGTAGCATCACATGTGACGTTATCCTCCAGATCAGTGCTTCCTGTCAGCCCGTTGGCCAGATTCATAGAGCTCTTCTTTCGACGGTCAAAGTAGCGATGTGCCCTGCCGTTAAACCTGGCAATGACAAATGAATAAGAGGGGGACACAACTTACATTAGTAAATGCAACTCATTAGTTAACTGAAGCCATTAGCAGTTTGATGATGATACCCACTTCATGATGAGGATGTAGACTGCATACATAAGGACCAGGATAAGAGACTCCCACCTGCACACAAACACCAGGTCAGTAAAATCTATAGTTATTTAAAACACACATATATTTATTGATGCTGCAACAGAGAATATCATTACTCACCAGCACACCTTCTCATCGTAGATGAACTAAAAAGACAACAAGGACAAGAAAGGACATTAGGTGGAGGCAGTAATTCAAAGTGAAATTAATTCTGCATTTCAACATCAACTCCACTAGAGGGCATAACTAATCCAGAGCTCAGACACCCCAGGAAAAGGTCAATGCATGACCTTTTGTTTCATTCTAACTAATTTAAAGACAGGAAGGCACTGAAGAAACTCATTTCTGAGCCCCTTTTTTTTATGTTGAAATGTACCTGAAATTACCCAATACGTGCACAGCCAGATGTTTATCAATGACTTTAGTATGTCATTGCCATTAAACATCATAAAGAGAAAACAAAATGTTTTTCTAAACGTTCAATACAAGATCAGTTTGAAGCTCTCTCTCTCTCTGTCTCTCTCTCTCCACCATCTGCAGTTTATTCATATTCATTTTTTGCAGCTGTAAGTACTGTAGAGCCTCCATTTCAGGAAATATTCACTTAAGAAAAAGTATCAATAGCAAATATTACCAAAAGTAGAAATACTTATAATTATATACTTATTATTATTATTATTATTATTATTATTATTATTATTATTATTATTATTTTACTTAAAGGGTAAGTATGGTATTTTTCAACCTGGATCCTATTTCCCCATGTTTTTAAGTCTAAGAGACAAATGGGGACAACAATGTTTGAAATTGGTCCAATACTGAGTGAAAGTGCTGCAGCCGTCAGAAGTGAAACCGGGCTGCAACATAATCCTTTGGGGCGTTTGCGCACCATCAAAGTATGTCCACTAAAGTGCTTGTTTTTGTTACTGATCAGCTCACATTGTTATTCTAACTGTCTAAAAACATCATCGAAAGGATCCCTACAAAGATAGGCCGCTTTTAAAGAGTAAGAACCTTTTTGTTTAACCAGAAACAGCCACTATATCACTCTGTCCAAAGCCACCAGACTCCAGGTTAAAAAATACTGAAGTTACGGAAGCAAACTGCACCTAAAGTATCAAATGTAAAAGTATTAATTTGGCAAGATGACCCAATTCTGTGCTATATTATTATATGTATGACATTATTGGTGGCACTTTATTGTTGCAGTTGGTCGAGGTGGAGCTAATTTAAACTATTTTACACACTGTTGAGCAGTTTACTCTGTAAAAAATCATCATACTGTAGAGGCTGATTAATTGAGTAAATGTAAAGAGTTACTTTCTACCACTGCTCCATTTCCTTTGTGCATTGCATTGTGGGACAACAGTTTGAATCAGCACCCTCAAAAATTAAGTGTTTTTTATTATTCATATTTACATTTCTGAGAATACTGTCCCAGTGTGAATACAATGCATACTCCAAGCCTGCTGAGAATTAACATGTATTAAGGATTTGGGACACAGCTTAGTCTCTCATTATACCCCATACATCCTACACGTTTTATACAACCAAACACACACTACTAGAAGGGCAATTGCTGTGATGGAAAAACTTCTAAAGAAAAGGCCCACATTTATAGTGGATGTACAGTATCTGTGTGTTTTTATTGACTTTCTACTATCTAAGCAATTCTGCTGAGGCAGAAAAGTGCAAATTGGGTATTGATACCAAAGCTGAGAAACAGCACTTTCAAATAGGCATTATACGCTTTGCTGTAAGTGACAGTGTAAGGATTTCTGCATATTCAATCACCACACTGGACCACGTGAACTGTGTATTTGCATATGAGTCTATAAGATCTTACCGCAATGAGGGCCGTGATAGAAAATGTGTAATAAATTGAGTCCCGGAGTAGACCCCAGTGAGAGAGCTTCACTGCCTGCAAGAAACCCCCCCCCCCAAAAAAAACACAGATAAGCACACTCACAAAAAGTATGCAGCTTCAATTCACACACTCTTATAGTAACACTTATCCTGGCCTGGAGTTTATGCAGCACAGTGATACAGAAACGCCTCTGACATTATTACCATACTGATGTAAACACAGGAGCTTTCGAGTTGACCTCCTGAATCACAATCGCTGAAAAAGCCAATTGCAAGGTACCATCCTACGTAGGAAAGGTGCCTGTGTGTTTATCGACTTTATGCAATCAGATACAATGCAGGAGCCCACAATGCAGTGACTAACACTCTCCCACACACCACTGCACTGTATATAAGCAAGTGGAGGGTCAGAAGTCACATCTTGAATGTGCCACTCCCAGCCGTGGAATCGTTTGCTGCTGCGAGGCAGATGGCAGAGTTAGAGCGTAACAAAGCTTTGAAATGTTTGCTTGTACTCTGTTTCACCGTACAATAGTGCTTTGTAGAGGGAGCCTGCTATGAACAGCCAGCCAAAGGTAACAAACAGAAGTGAGGTGCAATGACCGCGCACTTGAAGTTGATTTTACTGCACCCTGTCCCTCCAAGCCCCATTACATCGCCTGCCCTTCTGCCTCATTATCTCACTATGATTATGCAATGCACAATCTGGGATTGCATCACTGTTTGGAGTCCAGTGCATATATTTTTCAGAGCAGAGAGCTTATCCTTGTACTCCACTCATTTCCATGTTCCTGGCATGTCAGACAGCATCAGAAGAGAGGCTGCATTATATTATGTTATCTCTGTATCTCATGCAAAACACAGCACTGAGGATGCAAAGCAAAAAGGAGATACAACTATCTATCTGTGTTCAGATGATGGGATGTTGTGCATGTGGCTGGTTAAGCAGAGCATATAAAAGGAAGTGTCACACAAACAAAAACATGTTAAAATGGAAAGTTTCCAACGTGTGCCAGCACCAGAAGTTTCACTTTATGTACACATTTTTCATATGAGAAAGAAAGTCACACGGAAGATAAATCGGACTATCGGACAATCACAAAAGACAAAGGATACAGCCAGGTATATGTTAGACAGTAAAAAATAAAATACATACATGTAAAGAAATCTGTGGTTTGCACATGGATCAGACTGAAGCAGTATTTTGGTGCAGTCAGACACACACACTCATACATGCATAAAACAGTGTGTCTGCATTCTTCTGCATAAACACATGCATGTATGCATGAGTACTTTCTCCCACTTTGTGTTTCTGTGGCTGAATATTTAAAGGTGATATTAGGCTGTGGGTTGTACACTGCGAAAATGTCACCGGATCAGTGGCGGGTTTGGCCGCAGCAGTGTAACACTGCTATGACATCATACCTGGCCGGCAAAGAAGCCACAAACACCGATGATGCAGAGGATGTTGAAGACAGCCGAACCCACGATGGTACCCACACCCACGTCACCTTTGGTGATGAACACCCCTGGGGAAGGAATGAACGAGCACACACACTGCATTACAACTCCACAGAGTGCATAGATGATGTGTTCCACATTACTTGACATTTTCCGGTTGTAGCACGGCATCTGCAGTGCTGACAAATAGATGTCACACAACTGTCAAAACATATGTAAATAACTCGGCCATATTGGTCATGCATCTCTCTCCTACTCTTGCACAAACATACACACACTCGAAAAAACAGGAGAAGCAAAAAGGCCTATAAAACCTGAATTTGCATTTATTTTTCAAAACAAATCAGAGGACAGTTGAATCTATTAAACCTCTTCTGTATAATTAGATTTTTATTTAGAATAAGAAAGAATACAGTAATGTGCCTTTGAAGGGAAAGTTCTTGGTATTGTTGGTTGAGACAGATATATTATGCTGAACACAACCATGATCAAAGAAAGAACAAAAAAAACAACATATGGCCTTTGCTCCTCACCAGCAATTCTCTGGTGCTTATTACATAAGATGACTTTAATGTGATTCTCATGTGATTCGGTATATTGAAAGCAATGTTTGTTTAGTGCATGTGTCTGGGGATGAAAGCATTATTGTAAAAGGCATGCATGCTTCCTACCTAATGCATCTACAGTGGCATGTGTTTCAGTTAGAACAGAGGATGTAAAAAGATGGAGGCGTGGCTGCGGTGAATACCTATGACAGATGTGAAGAGCTCCGGAGCCGAGCTGCCGGCGGCCATGAAGGTGGCCCCTGCTACGTCCTCACTGAGCTGGAGACGCTGCGGGAGAGCAGTAAGAGACAAATAAAATGTTCATATTTGAACAGTAAAATCAAGATCAGTCCGAGACACAAACAGTTGGACATCATTCACAGCCTGACCCTTGACCCTGACCCTTAGCTGATCATACAGATCATTCAGCACCAACACACTGAGCAATATGTCTTTGGCACATATTGGATTTTTAAGAAATTTATTTATTCCTTTTTCCAGCCTTTTTTTAATTTCAACTCTTTGGTCCATCCAGGCTTCCATAATTTTTTTGTGGACTTTAGTAGTTATTTCTTATTTTCCTACCATATACACATCCAATAATGTTCAGTTCTTAAAGAGCTTGTATAAAAAAAAACTCTGCAGGGCTGCCGCCGTGCTTTGGAAGTGAAGAAAAGTCCACACACATTTATTAAGATGGGAGGCATGCACAGAAAGAACGCAGCCAGAAGGTAATCAGGTTCACGTAATCATTGTTTACATGGTACAATTTTTCATTTTGATCAGTTTATGAAAAGGTTTAAACTACCCCTTTGCTTGTTTATTCTGATTGAGGGGTTTGTATGGAGCATTTTTATTCTGGTTGGGCTCTTAAACTGATTATAATCAGAATATTACACTCAATGTAAACCAAGCTAATGTCTGGATTTGTACACGTGTTACCGGAGGTTGCTGTATTTTTGAGTGCAAATCTCTTAATAAATAATACCACAGAACTTTTTTTGGTTTATTTAGTCATTAATATTTGATGCTATTAATACTGAGGAGTTCTTCATGACCTTTAATACCTCACATTCATACCTCACACAGCTTCTCCAGGGAGGGGACAAAGTAGTCATCGCAGACGAGGGCCAGGGCACAGAACATGTAAATGGTCTGTAAAGAGAGAGAGTGATGAATATCACAGGGATCAGTGAAGTATGATATAATGTTGCTTGATGTGATTTATACATACAGGATGAAAAGTTCATACTGAGATGGGTTCCACTGCACCGTACGGTACAGCTAACTGATGTATCTGTTGATATTTCAAATTGGACAAGAACAAGTGATCTTGTTTACCATTTTCCATGTCTTCTCCTGCTTTTTATTCTATTTGGAACAGATCTCTATATGTACCCTAAAATGGTGCATTAAAGAACACCTCTCTGCTCTAAATGCTACATTAAATTTAGATGTAACTTACCATGAAAAATGGAACAGCAAGCCTAGTAATTAAAGGCTGAAGATTCAAAGATTTGATTTCATGCAAATGCAGTGCAGTACATTAACGGATCATACATTAAAAATTCAAGAACAACATAACTGTGGGACCAAACTATTTACATTTTAAATAGTTAGTTTTCACTTTTCAGACATACTTTACTGTCAGAATGGATGTAACAGAGAAGCAACATTACCACTGACCTAGAATGACACTGTGAGCCCAAGTTAAAGATACACATACAAATAAAATAATGTACATTTGTTTATTACATTATTACTAAACATAAACACCACAACTGCTCCATAAATTCTATACCCATTAAACTAATGTATACTGGTAACCTAAAACAGATCTTACCCTTTGGTTAAAAAGGAAACTATGTTCAGGTTCAGTCTCCGAATTTTAGAGCCTTTAATTTAATGAACAATTTTTATAAAATAAAAAAAATATTTTGAAGAACATTGTAGTTGTATTTCCTCATGTTTCCAAAAAGCAAGTAATATATGGAAATAAACAGTCGGAGGGCCATGCAACCTTCCCATTTCCCCAAATCGCTACAGTGGGGGTGGCAAAGTTAGCATGAGTCAGCACACAGCAGCATTATGGCCACCTGTCAGGTTGAAATATACAGGTATATTTAAAAAGGTATAAATAAATGATGAAAATTCTAACAAACTCTTTGCAATTACTTTTCCACGGTATTAAAATGTTATTTCAAAGTTTTACCACACGAAAATAAGATTTGTATTATCTGCAAATAAACGAAATGTTAATGTTTTGGAAACCTCGGAAATAAATATCATATACGTAACAATAATGGGCCTAACACTGAGCCTTGGGGAACTCCACAAGTAGCCTTCACTAAAAAACCTTCCAAATGTCCCCTGAATAGTCTTGCAATGACAAAATACATTATGACTGCAAATAATCTATCGTATGAAATGCTTTTCATGCTTTATATTACTGGTGTGTTTTTTTCCTGGTGTATTATTGCACACACCCACTGCAACCTTTCTTTGTTATCACATAATACATACAACACAGGGCACAGAGAGAGGCAGAGATAGGGTGGAGATGAAAGACGGAGAGCAATGATCAAGAGAGAAAATGTCAGGTAGTGACGACAGACTGACAGCAAATGTGTGAACAAAGGAAAAGCTTGAATATTCTTACATTTTGTAATAACAAAGCCCTTCAAAGACCTGCTTACAGCAAGATAGAGTGAATATTTCTTATCCCTTTTGTAATCAGTTCTGAGTCACATTTTCTCTGCACCAGAAGTTCTTCTATTTCCTGTTTCTGAAAGCATGTGAGAGTGAGCTGAACTACCCAACGACCGATGAGAGCTATGACTGAGCTGTAGAAGAGGAGTGTCATAGGCACACGTATATAGAACCTCTCTCGTCTTGCGACCACTCAAAGCACTTTACGCTACATGCCACATTCACACACGTTTATACAGTGATGGCAAAGGCACAAACAAACAAAAAGTCATTCATAAGCAATTTGGGGTTCAGTATGTTGCTCAAGGATAAAAACATGCAGCAGAAGGAGGAGGCGGGGATCGAACCACCAACCTTTTGAGTAGTGGACAACCCGCTCTACATCGTGAGCCACAGCCACCCTATTAATCACCATCAGTCAGTAAGTTAAAGAGCTGTTTGTTAATTTAGAGTGAGCAGAACACAAAACGTCACATGTAATCCTGACAACTGGGTTTAATCTTAATTCAGGTTTGAAGTTGAGACGGAGGAAAAACGCTATCTCAAGCCTAGTAGCTGTGCACATTCCATGTAAATTTGTGTGCACGTTTTATGTTGCATGCAGACACGAAAGTCCTTCAATCTTGTCATGTTTGTGTTTTTGAGAGGAAATCTTTTTTAGAGAAGTGATGATTCCCGGATTAATGAGCTGTGCAGAATTCAAGGGGGGTCAGCAGTACAGCTGTTAAGAGAACAGCAGTTGGAAGTAAAATACTGTGATGTTAAAATTCAGATATGAGCGTCTCACAGTTTTCTGTCTTCAAGCTGAATGCAATACCAGAAACATACACGATCAAAGACAATCTCCGGCTGATAGTGGAATCACTTCACAGCAGCAATCACTGGATAATACAACATCTAATTCAGTTTTAAATCAACATCCTTGAATCAAGACCATATGCTGCTATCAGTGCAGCATACTGCAAACACCATAAGCCATTTTCAGGTTTTATGTTTTTTTAATGATCTGACTTCATAAGGCATTTTACTTTTTATATTTTAACCTGTATGGTGGCAGGAAAACAGACATGTAGGAGTTTTTTCTGATTAACAGTAAAGGGGAGCAGCCGCGGGTAGAGAGAGGGCTGCCAGCACATTCATACTACTATTTATACTTCTGAATGTATTCTGTACAAAGCAGAGGTCATCAATGTTGGTGGTTCAATCCCCACCTCCTCCTGCCTACATGCCCTGGGGTAAGAAATCCATCCGGATAAATGGGGCGGGTTGCGTCACGAAGGGTATGTCAGTCAAATATGTGATCTACAAATAATATATGGGGGTGAACCCTACATGAAGCAAGCCATAAGAAAATTACAAAGAAGTAGGAAAAAGACAGTCTCAACTCTTGGCTATGAAGTTACAAGTCAAGTCCCAATAAAAGTCCTAAACTTTGTCTTTCAGCTCACTGAAACTATGCACCCTTTACCAAATATAATGCCATTTAATTATTTAAAGTTAATAAAGTGCATTTACAGAAATAAATAAAGATTTCATTTATTACTTACAAATAAACATTGGAACAAGAGAGAAATGATCAGGTCTGTCATGGTACGCTACTCTTTACATCCCAATGTGATAATCTGAGGTATCGTCTGTTGTCTGTCTGCTGGTTTTATACCTCCTGCTTACGCATCAATATTCTCTGCTGTTGGATTGATTCACAGTACATCGGCTATCAGCGAACTGAAGCTTTCTTTATTTGCTGAACTAAAAATGATCCAATAAAAAAATAATTAGCTCCCCTGGCTCACTTCCTGCATACTACGTTCCAGCCTGTTTTCAGTGGACATATTGCATGTCACAGTAGGCAAGCTTCTTCCTCAGGAATGGCCTATTTTGCATCTGAATTCTGACACGCATTTCCAAAAATGGAAAGGTTGAAAGGTACAACAGCATTACAACTGTACAGTATACTCTGCAGGCATTAGTTGAAAAATAGCTGAAATTCAGCTGTTCTCTCCACAGTACAGTAACACCTGCTATAACATGACACAGAGTACATTATTTTAAAGGTTAGACATCACAGGTAATGATATACTATACTTTGGCTTTTTGTTTTTTAAAATACCCATGCATCCAAGAAAAGGTTACTTTCATTTGCCCTTCTGTAGCAGGAAAAGGCTAACTCAGAGGGTGGGTGCACTGTAAGCAGTGACATTGCCTGTAACGTTAGACATGTACTGGCAAAATGGCCCATTCGGTAGTCTTTAGTGGTCTGTTTGTGCACAGCATAGTTCCATGGAGACGCTTCTCTGCTGGCATGAGCTTCCATTACAGTCAGCCCCGCAGAGACCATCAACAACAGCACAACACAACATGGGTCATCATGCACCGGAACATTCTGCCTGCCTTGTGCCAGTCATGCAAGAGAGACGACAGAGGGGCTCCATCGAAGCCTTGCCCTCGCAGATTGACCCCTACTGGGCCACGCTGGAGAGGCCAGTGGGGCTGGTGATGCGTGTGCTGAACCAATGAGATACTGCCGCAGAGGAGAGGAGAGGAGGGGAAAGGAGAGGAAAGGAAAGGAAAGGAGAGGAGGAAAGGAGAGGAGAGGACTGGGTCTGGCATTGTGCCGCAGATCCAGATGCTGTCTTCTGCTCCGCCAGAGAGGAAATATCTACAGCGTTACCATTTGTTTAGCCTTGCTTTGGATAGCCGGTCATCAGTTATTCTCTGACATGCAATGAGGAAGATTGTGTCACTTTGTGATGAATTTTTGTTAAAGTTTTTGGATTTTTATGTTGCAGCTGTTGCAACTTATAACTCCACTGATTTTACACATCAGTTTACAGGTGTTGGGTAGTACTCCTGCACATGTGACAAAAGTTGTAAAAAGCTTTCTGCTGTGTGAAGTCAGATAGATGTCATTAAGTGATGCTACCTGGGTCAGCGTTGGTTGAGGCCAAAGATTACAAGTTTGAAAATGAAACAAATCTGTTTGTGTGGTTTTAGAAAGAAGTGATCTTACCAGACCTCTGCAGCCCATTCCTCGTCTCAGCTCGAGGCTAGCAGCAGCAGGTTGCATTAGCTAATACTAGCATAACCCGCCTGAATCTCTGAGTGAACTGTCCATCATGAGTCTGACAATGTTGTAATAGTGCAAAGCTAAATCAGTGTATTATAAGTATTATACTATATATATATATTATTTTAAAGAATATGGCATTTTTCTATATTTCTATCATACTAACAAATTCCATCATTAGACAAAAAATAATAACATTGCCTTAGTCTATCTCCCTACACTCTCTTTTTTCCCTTTACTGTGGCCCTTTGCCCAAAACCCATTTGTTTATATTGAAGACCTAAATCTTTACAAATTCATCCATCAAAAATAAACCTATTATGTATGATTGTTAAAAAACATACACAAATTTTTTGTTTAAAAAGTCCCTAAAATTATCAGGAAGACTCCTCTCTGATCAGTATTCACAAGAAATAATCTGCTCAAAATTCATCCAAATCTCTGGTTTTACACAAACGTCCTGAAGTTATTGCATTCCCTTCACATAATATGAAACATCCATAAAGTACGTCACTTAGTCAGGGGTCATCAGTTTACTCAGTGATAGAAAAAGGGAGCCACTGCTGTAGTGACTTAAAAGCAGCTGGAGAGTGTATGTGGGATTGAGTCAAAATAAACTACAGTTCCCATGGTTATAGGGATGAAGGAACATGTCACCCAGTGTAAAAGTGTGGCTCAATGATATGTTTTTGGACGCAGTCATGTCGACACGCACACAAACACAGGAACGTACAGTTGTGTAGGTGAAGGTAAACTTACACACAGGACATGCAGGGCCACAGCTCCTTCTGTCCTCTCTTTGTTTGTGAACAGATCCGTAGGGAACTCGTGCAGTGCTGGAAGAGAGACAGACGCATACAGTTACAACAGTTCATATACAGTTATGTGAGAGCGTGTATGTGTGTTTCTGCAGAGTGTGGTACAGGGAACATATTTCCAATGGCCAGCAGAGTGCACACAAACCCATTGAACTCATGTACTGACAAGGAGCCTTTGCCCAGAGAGTACCTTGCCCGAGTTTGTGTGACAGCCTAACTGTGCCCTGCCAAGGACTGTGTAAGAGCATGCTTCCTCGGAGAGCGACAAGAAGAGAATAAGGAAATGGAAAAAGTGAGCACTAGGACGACAAAGCGAGGGCAAAGAGGAAAGAGAGCATTTTAAAAATAGAGCGAGGGATATTTAGGGTAAGGCAAGTGGGATGGAGAGCAAAGGAGAGAGAATGGATGGTGGGAGTTTAACTGCAATTTGCAAAAACTCCACTTCTCTGCACGGGAATATCAGTACAATTAAGCGAGAGAGAGTGACTGTGTGAGAGCTAAAGACGGAGAGCGCGAGTTAGGTTTTAAATGGTGGCCTGAGTTATTCTACCCCCTCTCCATGGCTTCTCGACTTCCTCCCCTCTGTCAGCCCCACAGTCCCCTGTGACTGCCAAGACCAATGACAGGTGCTTGGCTGCGGGAGAGTGTTGAGGAACCTTTGCCTCTCACCCCCCGAGCTTCAAGTCATCCCTGTCATCATTTCCTCCCACACAAATCAGGGGCCCATTCACAGGCCGCTGCTAACATCTGATACATATTTCAGCACCCACACAATTCCCTGGTAAAGGACAGCCAGGCATCAGGCAGAGAGTTGGGCCAATGCTTACGACTAGCTACCATGTAGCAGGCAAAATCAGAATCAGAAATATTTTACTAAACACAGAGAAATGGTAAATACTGACAACTTTCAGAGGTCAATAAGAGGGACAACAATGACAGAATGACAATACGCTTACAGACTGTGGAAGACATACAAAAGACGGCATGCTACTAACTGCAACATGTTACTTATTCAACATGGCCGTGTGTGAATGTGTAATATTGTGAGAAAGTGTATGTCGGTTTGTTTAACATAACTGTAATGCCATTTTAGCCAGGACTCTATTGTAAAGGAGATTTTGACTTCAAGAATCCTCCTGGTTATATAAAGTCACAGGGCATCTCATTCCGACAACATGGGATTAATAAGAGATGTTAACTGTTTTAAAAAGAGGCAACTGCAGTTATTGACATATCATTTTCAACAACCAACCTGGTAATACACACACTGGCCCAAAGTGCCAAAGTCACGTTTTGCCCTGCCTAGGCGTGGCAGTGTCATGTTATCAACACATGCTCGTTATGCGGTCAAGTTAAACTTTCACAATAAAGCTTGCTGAGGTCACAGTTGGTAAGGTTCAGGCACCAAAACTACTTGGTTAGATTTAGGAAATTTAAGTTCTTTTAGTTTCACACGGGACTCCAACAGGGGTCTCCTAGGAGAAAGTCCTGTGTGTGCTTGAGCCACCCATCCACCCCAAATCAACCAAATGCATCCTCCAGTGCATACAGTCAATTTTGTAGTGAAGTCTGCATCTCTCAGCATTGGTAACTAGCGGCTCTTGACGTCCCCATGTGGCAACCACGCAGAGAGTAGTAGTAGTAGTTATCTAGTAGTAGCGTAGGATGCTCTCCACTTGAGAGTGGGTAGGCTAACCGTAAGTGGGTGAAAGAATGAATGAATAAACCAAGTGAGTTAGGAGTAGTTGAGTAGTTTATCATTCCACCTACGTGTAGTCTTATTTCAGTCTTTACTCCTTCACAACATGTTGCAGAGAGAAGAAAATGAGAGCAGTAAGAATAGTTCACTACTTTCCCACTGTTTTCTCCCATTCTCCCCCCGTTCTGTACTGTGTTGACCTATTTGCATCTACAGTATCTCGCTGTGTTTGAGGGGCTGCAGTCCTCCTCTGCAATATGTTTCGCTGCTATAACTTCTTAAGCCTAACACAATGCAGAGCAGCCTGTAAAAAGCCACAGAGGCTACAGAGCAGCAGAGCAGACGGCCATCTCACTGCGACAGCTGGATGTGTTTAATATTTACTGTTACAAGCCGATGTCAGCTAGCTCAAAGTCAATCCGGCCAAAATGCCAGGCTAGTCTGTGAAGGGAAGAACAAGCAGCTCTCATGATGGGAATTAGGGTTTAATATAGATGAGGAAAACACAATACTCCTGTCTGAAGCAAAAATGCAAAAAAAAAAAAAAAACAACCAAAAAACAAAACACAGGCAACAGTGATATGTTTAAGGGTGAAAGACAAGGCTGAAAACAAAATGTACAGAATGATGAAGCTGACTGTCTCCGGATGTCTTTAAAGAGCCTGCAGATAAACACTCATACTGCTAATTACTGTTCCAAGAAGTATGAAGTCCAATTTCCCATGAGAGGTAGTAAGTACATGTGAGGATGTGATGTAGAACTGCACACTCCCACAAGAAACCCACTGGACCTTCATGTAAACAAGGTGTTTTATACACAGCGATACTGAAAGGTTCCACTTCAGAGCACCTAGCTCTTTCTAAATCAGAATCAGAAACACATCCTCACCATGTCACACTGGTACGTTGGAAACATACAAATGATACACTTAAAGGATAAGTCTGGTTCACTACTTAGGTGTAGGGATGGGACTAGTTACAATATTATCGCATAATGCATTAAGAAGACACTCACACACTTTGCATTATTGGGATAATCCTGAATATCCTCATGAGTGTCTTGAAAAGCTGTCAAGCTCGCTGGTGTACAGTCTTGATTTCCTGATTTATTTTTGAATTGTCACAATTGGGAGCCTGCATCTTTCCAAAATCCTAAACCTGTCATCATGGCTGAAGGCTTGGCTTATTGTATCCCCCACAAAAAATATGGGTCCTAATAGTTTCACAACCCCCTAACCCCTTCACCCTAACCCTAGAACTGGGGAATAGACCCTTTGTCAAATTCCCATTATGTGCCATATAAATCTGAGGAACATAGGAATGACCCGGCACAATACATGTATGTAGCCATCAAGGGCATATTTATGACGCCTTTTACAAATTCTGGTTTTACAACCAATCAGCTAGAAACATTTAAAAGTCAGCTGGAGAAAGTGTTTTCAACCAACTCATAGAGCTAACCTAGGCTTAATTAACTAGCTAAAGCAGATCAAATCTGCCAGGGACAGTTGTAATCTTGGCTAAATCATTGTTGCTGGCTAGAAAGGAGAAGCCATCTAAAAACTAAAAAAAAAAACTCAAATGACTAAGAATTTCTAGTAGTAAATCTGCCATGTTATCATCGTAAATGGCATATGTGCTGTGCAAGGATGGAAAGCTTGACACATAGCAACAGTAACTAAGGGGTGTGTGGCATAGCGTACGGTCAATTGCTGAGATGTGTGTTAAATGGTCATATTTTACCTTGAGTAAAAAGGTAACATGATGACCTAACACCTAACACAGACAGTAGAGTATCTATGTAAAGTAACATAACACATCCACTAGTACATTACTGTGTGCACTGACCAGAGCATAAGAAATGTAGACAGATGTGTGGTCTCATTACACAATTTTAATAACCAGAACAACTACAGTCAACCTGAAATGGAAACCTTACATCCCCTCAGGAACAAGTGCACAGTTGGAGAGGAGTCAGACCGAGGTGAGCAGGTGAGAGAAAGGGCTCAGCAGCTGAGTCCTGTGGAGTGGACATGGTGATGGAGACGAGAGGATGCGCTGGCAGAGCAGTCAGAATTGACCGTGCCCAGACTGTCGCACGCTGTGCCAGAGGGAGACGCAGGCAGCAGATGCAGTCATTGCCATTGTGTCGTCTGAAAGGACGCATAGACCCACAGCAAGCACCTGCCTCACTAACGCATGCTACACCCGACTTAACTCCATATGCCTCCATGTGTCAGTGGTGGACGCTATGTCACTGTGTCTCACACTCCAATAAATTCATTATAAATATATGCAGGGTTTTTAAAGAGATTTCTAGTTCTAGAATTGTTAACTCAGCTGACACTAGTGTGGCCACACATTCACTAACACACTCCAACCCCTCATAGTCTGCTTTAAGCCCCCAATCATGTAGGGGCGGTTGACTGAGCACACTATTTTCTCACTTTACCTTCACACAGTTGCACACAAACTGACTCTTAAGAGCTGAGCTGCCCATTCATGGTCCACTGCTGGTCACTGAGCAGCACTAGCTGAGGGCAGTTCACACACACACTGATAGCAGTTACTGAGGGAGGGCAGCGCCTTCCTCACACACTCTGCACACTTTGCAGAGTTTTCCTGCCAGTCTGGTGACATAAGACGGCACAGGTCACATCTACTTCATCTTTTCTTTTTAAAGGTGTATTCAGGGTGCAGATTTCAGAGGTGGCACATTTGCATGTGCAGTTAATGCAAAGACACAAGTGGACACAATATTAGCTCTTGGCGGACGAACTGAGGCTAAGGTCATCCACACAAGCTGAAAATGCAGTGTTGTATTCATAAACACATGGACATAAATTTAAATTCATTGCTGTTCATCTGTTTTATTTATATAGCACCCAATCATAACACAAGTTATCTTAAGACACTTTTCATATAAAGCAGATCTAAACCTAGACCCAACAGTTACCACCAGAAGCAAGCACCTGGCGACAGCGGCAAGGAAAAACTTCCTTTTAAGAGGCAGAAACTTGGAGCAGACCCCAGCTCTAGGTGGCCGTCTGCCTTGACCAAAGCAGAGTACGCTGAATATCTTACAGCAACAAACCCATTATTATTAAAACAAGGGCATATGATAACCAACATATGACAAGGTTCTTTTCAACCATACCTTACAGGTCACTTCTTATGTAACTGCTACATTTGAGTTGTGACTCACCCTCACCCTATTCAAAGACATATCTATACAAGACAACCAAGTACAGGGAGGGCGCTTTCAGGTACAACAAAAGATGCACACTTACATCAAGTGAATACTTTCAAGGTCACTTCA